TGCATTACGTGAACTGTAAACTTAGATAGAAATGTTATTGAATTCGTTTTATTAATAAAGATTATAATAATATATTTGAATACCCTGTTCTTTTTAAATGAAAAATTAAGAGAGCGTTTTTGTGATTTAGCGAGGAAATAATGTAACTTCGAAATATCCTTCAAAAATGTAGCTGAAATATTGCTAAAATCAAAGTTAAAAATTAAAATTGTTAACGCAATTTGACATTTGAATAAATAAGTAAGTTTGCTTTGTTCTCTTAAAGTATAAAATTACGAAAATTAATAATTTCGTTTTGTTTTCATCATAATAATTCATCATAGATTCGCGTATTTTTAATCAGTAACTAATGTAAAATTGTTTCAATCGTCATAACCGTCATAATAACCTTAATAATTTTATAATTTATTTACAAAGCCCTTCTCAATTCTTCAAGTTAAATATTAAGCAGCTATTTTGAAATTTATTTTTAAATTGCAAAAAATTGCATATACTTAGGCGAAGAAGAAGCTTGATTTTTACTCAAATCAAATGAACAATAAAAATATTTTGAAAATTATTACTTTTCCTAGAAGGATTCAATTATTCTGTATTCTATTATATATTTTCCTACAAGGATTTAATTATTTTGTAGGGAAACATAATATTTTCTATTCTACATAATTTATTAAATTTATATTAAATTGTTAAATTGCTAAGATTTCCAATATTTCTACGAATAACTAAAAGAATAGCCTTGTTTTAGTCTACACTTACTTTGTAGACATTTTTAAGAATCAAAATAGTAAAGCAGACATCTGCTATACACAATAATACAGACATCTACACATATGTGAATATATGATTACTGATTATTTTATGAATATTTTGTTATTCATTTATAAATTAAATGTTAATGAATCATAAGGAGTAATAGTTTGTTATAGAAACTATGAAATTTCATATTGCTATATGATGAATAGAATATGAGACTTATAAAACTTTGATATGGTTTTCAAAAAAAAAAAACAAAAATTGTTAGCTGCATAAAGAAACTTTTTATTAATAAGTTTGTAGTTTCTAATTATACAAAAAAATTATATGAAAACACAAAACTACTTTGTCACATAAGGTCTTTACTTATTATATTTAATGATAGATGTATCAGGTTTCTATTATAATGTTTTGTTATTCTCATATGTATATAATATATTTACATTCTTAAAAAACATGTAAGTGTGTGTATTGCTGAGCTTATAAATACTATAAAAAATAAAACACTATAGGAGAAAGAAAATCTGTTTTTGTTGTTTAATGTCATATTTAATATTTGCAATTATACAGCTGTAAGCTGTAATCCTATTACAAAACTTATTTAACCACATTTTATGTCATCATAATCATTATCATTGTTGTCATTATTAACATCATTATAATCATTATCAATGACATCAAAATTTTTAGTTGTAATGTGTAAAAGTATTATTAGAAATTCTGATGAAAATTTTGAATTTTGTATAAGAAGAAAATATAGATGAAAAATTAATTTTGTTTTGTATTTTTCAATATTCATACATACATACCTACACGCCACTTGAAACTATTTTTTGTTTTTTTTATAATAATAAATTGTATGAGACAAAGAAATTTTCTGCGCTTCTATTGTTTTTAATTATTTTATGTAGTGGTTTTCCAGTTTGATGTATATACAAAAATTTGAAGTTGAACTGAGTAATTTTTAGTGTTTTGTCTAACTATTGAGTATTGACAAAATTTTGCTCAAATATAAGATACTAAGTCGAAAAAAGTGTCAAATTATCTGAAGTGGGTAATTGAAATGGAATTCTGAAATCATTAATAAAGTTTTTGTAGACGCGTTTCTACTAAAATCAAAAAAATATGCCAACAACTTATGGATTTAAAATAATTACTTAATTTTTAATTGTGTCCCGGCATTTTATAATTTTTAATACTATTTACGTTTATAAAATTGTGATCTCAATTTCATATTTAATTATAATTTTGTTTTTAATTAATCACAAATAAGATAATTTTACTGGTTCTTTGCCACAAATCGTTTTTTTTGCAAACAAAGTTTTCAAAGAAAAAACCAAAGCAAAAATTCCAGTGTTTGGTAGGTTTATTTGAAGATAATTATTAATGAAACCAGGTCAAATTTTATATGAGCTGCGTATTTTCTTGTTCTAAATTCATTTAACATTAGATTTTATATTTTTCTTTGAATTTCTTCATATTACAAATAGAAATTCCATTGAGATAATGTTGCAATATTCTATTTTATATTCATTTACTATAAAAGTTATTAAAATAATGAAATTTATATAATTGCTAAAAGAAGTTCAAGTGAACACCGTACAGCACTTTGTAACATATTTAATCACAATAATTATTAATAACAAAGAATAGTGTTCTTACATTGCTTCAGGATCAACTATAAAATTATAAAATACCAAAGAGCGAATAAGTAACATTAAAATAATTAAATATTCGTAAACACTTAATATTAATGATTCCAGTGAATTAGTTTTAAACGTTAAAAGCAACATTCTTTTGTTATTCTGTAAAAGCACAGATTCAAAAATTTAAAATTTTCACACAATTTGAAAAAAGTACAATATCAGTCAAATTCAATTATCTAGTTCCATTTTTATATTTTTCACGACTGTACATAGAAAAAAAAATTAAGGGTTGAACAAAGAAATATTATATATGTATTGCGAGAATATAGTGATGATAACACTATTAAATGATATTGATGTTTTTCATGGTAATGCTATGTTTTTTAAAAAGAAAACTAAACCATATAGTACGCTTTTGCATTCTTAATAAATCACAAAGAGCCTTAAAGAGCACATATACACAAACTTATTATATGATGACACGATTACAATTTACGTAAATGCACAATTCTGCATACATATATAAAATACTTAAAGGGAATCCAAAGTTATACGGTTTACCGACTATTAGAAATTAAAAGAAAAAAATAAATAAAAAAAAAATGTACAAAAATGATATACTGAAAAATTCAAGCCGCGACATACTTATGCATAATATGTATACGTACATATACGTATATATATACGTATATATACGTATATGTTCATACGTATATGAATATTTAAACTTTTTTTCCCCTTACTCTTTAATTTTTGTTTTGTTATTTGGTTTATAAAAAGTTTGGGTTTAATTTCTTTTTAATAAGAACAATAACTGTAGGCATCACTTTGCCTTAAATTTTCATTATACTAGATTAGTCATAGTAAAAAAATAACTACGTACGTACATGATGATGTGTTTATAGCATTTATGAGGTACATTTGTTTATGTGCATTTATATATGCTATTGTGCCATCAGGATATAAAAAGAGCTTCTAAAAAGTTTAAATTTTATAATTTTCCATTTCTCATATATAGTTTATATTAGAGTTAGGTTAATTTCTGCGCTCTTTCTTAATCGTTTAAAAAAAACATTGAATTTTTATTAATATTTTTTTTACAAGAAAAGAATGTTATTACATTTGGTATGGAAAAATTATTTTCCTGAATAACAAAGTTTATATAAGGTCTTAGGGGCTTGTCTTTGATCTAGATAATTTCATATCAAATTTTTTTTTACCCAAAATGATCATATATAAATTAATTTCACTTTTATATTTAAGATTTCCTCGAATATTAAAGAGTTTTTAGAGAGAATGCAAAAAGGATATTTAAAAAATCTTTGCCCTTAAGATTATTCTAATTTAGAACAAATTTTAAAAACTTTTTAAATTTTATAATCAAATGTTAGCTTTTCCAATTCCGTCCTAAAATTAAATATTTTTAGGGTATAAATTCTGTAAAAAAAATTTAAGATCTAGTTCAGTTATTTGTTTTATATGAATTATCCTTAAACAAGGAGTCTTTCGAAATTTATACCTTATCTTAAAAGGAAAATTAAATAGTAAATATTGAGCTAATCTAAAAGCTTAGGTAATGCACATGTTGTCGAACTTTTGCACATTTTTGAATTTTTAATAATAAACTTCTAGTAATTTAAATTGCCTGATTAGAAAAATCAATTTGGAATTATTCTCAAGAGCCATTGAACAATTTGATAAAAACCTAGCTGTCTGCATAACTATTTTATAATTTACTTAGTTTTGGTCTAGTTTCTTCTACATCTTATGATTTCTGAAAATACTTTGTGTGTATTGCTTATCAATTTTCATGTTTTTTCTACAAGTTTTATAATATGCTCCCTTATTTTCAAATGTGTGTATTTTAACCTTTTATTCTAAACATCCTAGACTTTATTGTTAGAAAATGTTGTTATTTAAGTATAGAATTTTCTATTAATTTTTTTTTTGGATTAAATTTTTAATATCTAACATAAAATTCTTTTCTTTGTCACAAAAATTTCAAAGGGAAAAACACGTCATAATGGTAAAGGGTTTTTTGTTTAAAATTCGTATGAACACGTGCGCTTTGTAAAAACTATAATAATAGCAGAAAAAGTTTGTTGACGACAGAAGTTTTAGGAAAAAATTTTATGGAGGTTTCAACATTTTACAAAAAAAAAGATGTCCTTGTTTTGCTTTTTTGAAATTATTAGAAAGCTCAAAACTAAAAAATGCGATACATTCAATATTTCTTTTTTAACTTGTAAACTAAATTTATAAAATAAAGGAAAAATAATAGGGTACCTCCATCTTGTGGGTATAAGATTAAATTCATTCATTTATTAGTTTTCCTCGCTATTGCTGAATTTTTTTTTTTTGGCATATTTCGTAATGTTGTTAGGACGTGTCAGTAATAAATTAAGTCCACATTATAACTGTAATTGACGGTATTGTTCATACAGTTGTGTGATGCAGTTGTGCATTTTTAATTTTAAAAACTCATTTTAATATTAAATTTGTAATCTTTACATTATGAACAAGGCATTATATGAAATTTTGAATATTTGTTACATATAGAATGAGTTTTATACTACTATTTACAAAATAAATTCTGCTTACCTTCTAGTGAACCGGTGTATATTCTTGATATATCATAATCGACAGGTCCCAATGTATTTTCGATTTCTACGTCTGGAGCAAAAACAGATAGCGGATTTTGATATAATACTAATCGGAACTCCCTGGAAAAATTTAAAAATTAAAAATATTTAATAAAAATATGATGAAAATATGATGCAAATAAAAGATTAAAATATAAAATGAAATTTGTAATGCTTTGCTCCCATTTACGGGTTTTTTTATTTAAGAAAATTATAAAGGAGATCACAATGAATATTATTACTAATAAAATTTCTTTATACAACTGCAGGACAACTGGATTGCGTAATTAAAAGAACGAGTCAAGGCAGAAAAATTAAAAATTTTTTCTCTTCGAATTGGACGGTATTATTGGCTTACCGCTTTCTAGGCGAACGCTCTACCAACTGAACTATAGAGATATGAAGAAATTACGAGGAAATTGTTCTTCACATTTTTAATTTTTGTGCCTTGACTCGCTGCTTTACTTGCTTCATCCATTTTATCTCGAATTATGTAAAGAAATTTTCATTAGTGTTATTCTTAACACAATCAGTGTTATTCAACGATATTATTGTAAAACAATCGGATGATTTAAAATATGAAAAGAGCATCAACTTCATTTCTCTCATAAAAGAAACGAAAATTGACCCACCCTAAATATTGAAAATTTTATGCTTTTCAACAAAAATGTTTTATTCAAGATTCTTTTACAATAACGAGAATAATAAGATTTTCATATTTTAATTTTTCCTTAAATATTTTTAGCTTTGTATTTTTTTGTTTTTGATTTTTTTTTTATAAATTTTGGGTCACTATATTATAAATTTTTTTTTCGTTTTTTTAATAGTTTTAATGGTCTTTTTATTCCAACTTAATACTTTAAGAATGAAATAGTTTTAATTTTGGATTTAAGAATAAAAACATTAAAAATAAAAGAATTTTTTGTGTTCAACATTGAAAATAATATCGAAGGATTCTTATTTTTTCGGATCATTTTGTAAAAATTTAGGTCAAAATATTTAAAAGAAAAAAATAACTATGTTATGTATATATGTATGTTATGTATATATGCAAATGTAGAAAGAAGAAAAAAGGAAACCTAAATACAAAAATTCTTCTTTAAATCTAAAAAAATGAATTATTTTTCATAGAAACGAAACTCAATTCTTAAGGGATCATTTAATATGTTTCATTCGACTTTTATGTACATGTATATGTATTAGAGGATGGTATTAAGGGATATTAAAGAAAAAAAAAGAAATACGAATACATTGAACTTTTCTTTGTTGTTTTCTTAGGTTTCGAGTTTTTAAAGCGAAAATAATTTTCTATGTATGTATATATTAAGTGTTAAACAAAACTAAAACTTTTCAATGCATTAAAGACAATATTTATTGTTTAGACATACAAAATAGCTTTTAATGCAAGTTTCCAATAGATATTTCTAATACTATTGCAACAATAGATAAATTTAAAATTAGCGTTAAAAAATATTTCTTTCATCTTGGGTTTTCATACAAGATGAGAGAAAAATTTTTCAAACAGTAAATAATTCAATGAAATTGCAAGTTACACACGCAGCTGTGTACGAAAATATAAATCACAATTATTTTGGTATCATGTAATTTTTTAATCAAAAAAGAACTAGGTTCATTTCGCCGACTCAAACTTATAATAGTTAGTGCTAAATAAACCCTAAAATTCAGATTAAATGAATTTATTATATTTATTTCAATTTATTTAACAATTATCAACCCGGGACTCTGACACTGGGATCAGGTAGACCCCAACAGAATTTAAAGTTAATGTAAATAATTCGAGAAGTTTATGTCATTTTTTTTTAATTTTTAGTCTGCGACAAATGTTGAGCGGCAAGAATCTTTTCATGAAAATACCTAAAAAATAGGCTCGAAATAGTTTTGGTGTCTGGGAGAGCCCAGTGTGTATAAAGTGTACAAGATTTGGATTTTTTAGTTTTTCTTTGTTGGAAACTTATAAAGGAAGATAAAAAATTTTGTTTTCGTTTTAGAAAAGACGATTAAAAAATTTCCTTCTTGTGCAAATTGTTCTTTTCAGCCATATTAAATTTTTACAGAGTACCTACTGGCTCTGATAAATTATGAATTAAATACGAGTAATAGCTTTAAATAACAAATAAGATTAATAATGCAGGCTGGGTTTAATTTTATTAAGGAATTAAAGGTGTGAGGAAAAAGAAAAATATAATTTGAATTCGCCAAATGAAGGCCTTTTTTAGTTTTTTTATTTTTTTCTTATTTGATTCAATTTAATGAATTCCGAACTAATAATTTTGTTTTTGTTAATAGTATTTATATAAAATGAATTGCTTATGTTTTCTAATATGTATTTGTGAAGATAAAAATGATTAAAATAAAAGAAACAACTCAAATTATCAGAAAATTATTTATTTTTCATAATATTTTCACGTTACTACATATTGGGTCTGGTAGAAATTGTGCCATAAAAATAAGAGTGAGTGGAGACGGTAAATATGTCATATGACAGCTAGAAAATAGGAACCTGATAATTTTTACTTATTTTTTTTTTAAAAGGATGACCATATATTATTAAACGCGTAAAAACAAAATTTTATACTCGAAAATTAAATATTTGGAATGAGAGCTTTTTACTAAAATTCATCTTAAATTATGGAATTAAATTAGAATAATAAGAAATGTATATAATAAAAAATTAAATGTATAATAGTATTTTCGGAATTTAAATTTTTAATTTTAAAATTTAATATTTAATTATTCCATAATTTTTAGGATTTTACATAATATTATGAATTATGAAAATGTATAACAAAATAAACGTGCATTGGTAGTTCGTTAAGCGATATGTAACCATGGCGTATAAAAATTGATTTTATTTACTAAGGTTTAATTTGTTCAAATGTGTGTATTATGTATATGTATTTTCCAACGTACTTATAAATTATTAAAAAAAATTCGGTGCATATAATTCTAATTGAATATAACAAGAATTTAAAAAAAATTTAATTAACTTTTAAATACAATAATATTGCATTATTGTGAAACAAAACTCCAAATTATTATTTTCTTATGGTTTATATTTTTATTATGGGCACCGTACATACACACATAATAATAATATAATAACTATAACTAATAAATATTTAATTTTTTTATTATTTTGCTACAAAATTTCACAATAACGTTGTGCATATCCTTTTTTTTTCATAATTATGTGAAAAAATTCGATATTTATAAAAACCATATAAGATTAAATTAGTAATTTATTTGTGAACCTGCCTGACTACACGTATATTGTATATGAATTTTTTTCAGAACATAATTTTATGTTGTTATACAAATTAACTCAAATTTATGCCCCAATTTATTTAACATAGAATATATTCAAACTTTAACAAAAATACCATAATATTAGAATATAATATGTATGAAATTTGTTTTATTACTGCTCTATAATTATGCAATATATTATTATTTTCATAATTCAGAAATAAAAAAATTACATATTTGCTCAAAACATTTATAATTCGAGTTCATATTATGCTAATTAGAAAACCTAAAAATTTCAAAATAAAATCAATTTTATGCAATTATTTATTTACATCTGAACGTGTAATTTCGTATTTACATCCCTATAGAAATACACGCATAATATTATATTTAATTCCTATTTTCCTATATACTTTCCTATACATATAAAAATAATATTAAAGTAAATTGTGCAACTGAAAATTATTTATTCATTTATTTTTGATTATATTATACAAAAATCGTTTTTAAAATTATGATTGCACATAGCATTAAAGTATGACAATTTCAACAACAATAAAATTATTCCAACGGAAAATTGGTGGAAATTGTAATAAGTACAAATAACAACAAAAAAAGAAAAAAATTATTATAGGTAAATTCTATTTTAAATTCTTATGTAAAATTTTCACAATTATTTCATACATGAACATCAAAGCATTTTAATGAAAATCAAAAATTAAATTGATAAAGTCATTTCTCTCCCTTTTCCTGTTATTTTTTTTTTGTATATCTTTCTATATTTTATTCTTTCTGTTCAGATTTTTCGTACTCGCTTTTTCACCATATTAATTCCAATTGATTTCACGAAATAGAAGTATATAAAAAAAAACAAAAATCACATAATTATTATTACTTTGATCAAAAGCACTGTTCCGCAATACGGTATATATGAGAAACAAAATTCTTTCATGCATTCACCCACAATATTATTGGAAATAACATAATGAACATGTCGTCATTACCCACCACCACCTTATTGTCGTCATATTTTTATTTTAATAATATACATGTAGCATAATACTAATATATACGTTTATATATTTCATAAGATATGTTTGTAAGGTTGTTGAGCATAAATAACGAGAAATATAATATTTAGTTAATTTCTTTGATTTTCCACACAGTATTAAACAAAATACCTTCAAAAATGATAAAGAAAAAAATAGGGAAATTGTAAAATATAAAAAGCAATGAATAGCTTATTTACCTGTAAAAAAATATTTGTCCAAGCTCAGGGTAAGCTATTTCTGTACTATATGAGCATGTACATAATTCATTGAAAAATTTAAGTATATCTACATACTTATGTTATACAAAATATTTTTGAAGAGAAATGAGAAATGCGTATGTCATTAACAAAGTTTTTTTTTTCAATATCGCAATATTACAAATAAAGTTCAAGGCATCACATTAAAAACATAAAGAATCAATTTAATTTTTACAGTGTGTACAAAGCAAATACATTGAATTTATATTATTTATATAATTTCACAATATTATAGCGATTTTCCAAAAAAAAAAATCATTATATAGCTATAAAACAAAAAAAAATTTCAGAAATTTTAATGAAACTACCTTTTACGGCTCAGATAAACTTTCAATTTTTAAAAATTGAAATATCTTCCCAATCTGTTTTTATATGCATTTGTCACATCTCACATTTGTATCATACAGACAAGAGTGAAAAGCATGTATGCTGTTTGAGGATTTTGAATTTAATAAATAGTTTCCGAAATATCTAATTTCTAGAAAATAGTTTTGTTTTTTTAAAT